ACCGTTCGAAAAATCTGTAAAATTATAAATTTTTTCTGGAAAAACTAGGATAGTGCATTATAGGCAATTTTGGACAGTGTAGTTAGAGATATTTCGACTTGTATTTTTTGTTTTTACTGTGAATTAAGTTTGCCGGCTGGGATAAGGTGGATTGCTGTCACTTGTCACTCTTACCGTGTAAACAGGCTTATGTTTACTTTTTCTGATCCCGTAGACTAAATCAATTCAAATACTGGGATTGGATTCAGCGTTAGTCAGGGAGCGAAAAATTATGAAACGGTAAATTAACCTAAATCCTTTCAATAAACTAGACTATACAATTTTAGTATGGTCCGAAAGACTTTCGTGATCGTATAAGTTTACATTAAATGCCGAGAAGAAAGAGAGAGAAAAAATACAAAAGTCTATATGAACTAACGCTCGGTCTAACGGGTTATTCGGCGCTTGTACTAGCTATTACGCGATACTATTAAAATATACTATCGCAGTTAGTCTAGATACACCTACCTTGAGTTGCGATTACGGTGATCAGCCATAACCATGTGTGCCACTGCATCTACCCTGACGATCCTGTCCAATGCGGATGTTGGTGCTGCATCTGTTACCGTGCGCTGGTTGCTGTCGACAAGTTCCTGCACTTCTCACTGCTGGTGAGAAGGTGGTTGGATTACTAAGCATGAATACCGTATTTTCTCGCAGTAGCTTGCATTCTCCTCGCTGTTTTATCGCAAAAATTCTTACTCGCACTTACAACTACACTCGTCTCACTTGTCAGTTCTATCAATACTGCTTCTACTTTCCACGCGCGCCTCCTCTCTCTCCAAATCGCTAGCTCGCGCGCTTCGAGTGCTACCGAATCGCCAACGAAACGATACTTTCAATCGATTACCGTTGCAAGTCTTAAAAATGCAACTAGATTCTTTTGTAAATTCATCATAACAACGAATAAATGTATATAGAATTTGTAATAAATCCACATAGCGCATGATATATTTCTAATAATTATACATCGAAAATGGTGGTCTGGTGTGTTCAATAATAACACTCAGTTATTATTTCCCGGTTAATAGTTTCTCTGCGCAACAATATTGCTTGTCGCGACTTAAGCATTGCACGCAAGCCAAATTAGAGCAACCCTGAGCTTACGCTTACTCCAAGCGTACCTCAGAGTGATCCCGACGTCACAGGTGTAATAAAAATTCATCTGAATTCGAATGCCCTGAAAATCCAGTTTCAAATCCATATATTATCCATACGAATCCAGCTTGAATTTCTAGTTATAATTTTTCAAAAGTGATTCGGTGAATGTATACATGAATTCACCGAAAAGTGTACAATAATATATGATACTCGGAGTATGTACATATGAATAGCATCAGGAAGACGTATGTATGGTCTTATAAGTATGAATATTACTTTGTAAAATTATAGCCACCAAAAAGCGAGTCGATGTTTTTTTTCGTAATTTCTATGACAATTGAGCACGTCGTGCGATTTTTTTATCCTTAATGTTGCGAAAATACATCAATTTTTGCATAATCTTTTATATTATTTATTGAATATAATATCGCAGTACTCAATACGTTGATGTTTGTCTGTTTAAAATCTCATTGCTGTAATACCTTCGAAATAAAAAAGATACCGTATATTTACTTACTAAGGACTCGAGCATTACTAGAGTCTTAGAGCAAGGGACTGCAGAGTTAGCTTCGTTACATGATTACTTATATTAATTGTATTCATTAAATCATTATCTCATTCAATAGACTATTTCAAATAATTTTGATCGATTATGGCGACAACTTACGTTTTCCATTTTGCATTTAATCATATAACACGGCGGTCCTAAAGTAGGTTTAAATCGAAGGTCCTTGCACTCTCAAAATTCCAACGGGGTGTCTTTTTAGGATGTTTCCTGAGCAGTTTGAGCTCAAAACGAAAATCGATGATTGGGCCGTTTTTAAAAAAACCATTTTTTAAATTTTCAATGCAAAAATAATTCATTTTTTATCAGTATCTATTCAAATACACAATTCATGCTACTTTAAATTATATTATTAGTATAGGTCACTAGAATTTCGGATTTATAATTAATAAGGCTATAATAAATAATTTTATTAAAAAAAATTTATTCCTCAACAATAGGAAAAATTAATATTCACAAAAAAATCATACATGATGTGAATTGTATTCACATACAGCTCTGAACAATTGTTTTTCATAATTCGGGTTGCTATTTGAAACCTTGTACTTGTCCCAGGTCTTAGAAAAGTCAAAGTGCACAGACTCCATGGCCTGTTCACTGTTATAACCCAAACCCTTTTGCATTTCTACACAAAAATCGCACACATGAAAAAAAACTGCATGAATTTTTGGTGTCACTGGGATACCTACATCTAAATAACTCTGTTGAAAATCAGAAATACATTTTTCAAATTCAGGTTGTAAATGCACGCCAAAACAGGCTTCTACAACATTATTGAATGTTTGAAACGCCTTAACGAATTTGAGACACCCTGTACTGCAAAGCGATCTTAGAACATCTACTTTACTTAGTAAGATTTTACATGAATTGCCTTCGAAACCTGAGTTTCCTTGCGTTATTTCACGTTCCACATGACATGACTTGGCCCATTTCTTAGCATCATTTTCAAATTGCTTAAGCATATGATCATACAAAGTATTCACTACCTCTAACATTAAATGCAATTCCGGAGGTGGTATCACTTCTAAAACCAGTTTATCTTCTTTAGTTTGTATAATAGGAACTTTCGTGCAGTTCTTGTACTCTTTTGGTTTTTTTTCTTACCCCCTGATTTTATCCAATTTGCATAATTTTCAAAAATATTCCCTATAATTCTATGAATTCCAATTTCATCCAATTTATTTTTTTCTGCATAGCACCATGTACATGGAAACTTACTTGCATGCGTCATTATTCCAACAATAATATTAGCAAGTTTACGATCTGTTGCTATCGTTCCCTCAAAATTATTAATCTTCAACTCAGACCACAACTGATAAAGATTAGCATAGTTTTCTTGCGTGTAAGGCGCCAATGCAAGTATAAATATTTTTTTTACACTTGAGTCCTTAAATTTTTTAGCGGCGATGCCATCTTTGTAAGATTAACGAGTATTTTTTTTCTCGGACGTCTGTGCCGCTGATTGGGATTTCGACTGAACGGAAAGACAAACTTTCAAAAATCCGCGTCCTCCATCAATACCAAATTTTAAAAGTACATCGTCAACTTCGCGTGATTCTTTGACATGTTCAATCAATTTTTTTACATTATTACAATATACCACAGATTCAAACTTTTCAGAAACTTCATCACCTTTATTCTTAACAAATTCGAACTTTTTTGCATCAAAATAGTCATCTACGAAGTGATTATTCAATAGCAGCTTATTTTTCAAATTAGGTTCTATGATTTTACGATCTTTCAAAGCAATCTGAATACAAAAGGCGATACCACATACAGTTTTGTAACTGATATTGTAATTAGTTTGAATTTTAAGAAAATCATCAGCACTCAATATACACTGTTTTTTTTGTTTCTCGAACATTGCTATATTGTTATTTTTTCCTATAGTCACTTGAAGTTTTTTCCCTCGTTTTTCAGATAATAACACTACACGTTCTTTTGATTTATCACTCGATTTACTTTTATCACTTTCAATATTTTTCAAAATTAGCGCAGTAAGTTGTTCCTTTTCCTATGAATTACACGACTCTTTGATGGAATTCCTCAAATTAGGTATACGATTAGATTTCTTACTGACATAACTTTTGCCTTTTGCAATTACTCCGAAACACTTTGAACATTTCTTCTAAGTACATGTATTCTTTTTTACATCAGATGATTTTGGATTGATTTGAAAAACCTTTCGAATAGGAGCATTCCATCTCCACTCATTCCCATTCATTCTACCTACTGTGCAATATTCACATTGACATATTTTATTTTCACGAGATCTAGTACTGTCCCTGATGTCGAACTTTGGAAAAACAATTTGCTTAACTTGTTGCTTTGAGTCAAAGCGGTAAAGATTTCTCTTGCAACTGGCACAAATCACATGCGGGAGGCATTCATTTGTAGAATCGTAATTATCGAACAAATTTTCTATTTTTTTTGTATCACAGTCGTAATATTCATCATCACATTTTTCTTGTCAAAGCATAATAAACAGACCATATCACGATTTTCTTGGTGTGAGCGAAAATGCGATTTACTTTTATGCAACATCGTAGCGCGAAAGAATATCACTAACCGAATGTTATTTCGTAGATTGACTTCTTACGACTGTTAAATAATATTGTCCTCGCAAATTTTCAGATCAAGTCAATACTGAAAATTCCAAGAAAACCGTACGCGTGAACTATCGAGGTTTCGCGCTCTGTTTACAAACAACCCATGTATAATGCGTCTGTATTCAGAAGTTGAATTAAATTTGGAAGCAAATAATATTAATCCCTTTGTCAAGTAAAATATATCAAAATGTAATAACTCATTATTTATAAGAATAAATTAAATTTCATATATTAATTATAATTGAAATATTTTTTTTGCATGAACACATTTTTTATCTATGAACGCAAATTAATGAAAAGAGACGATAATTCAACATAGGAAGGCATACATTTGTATTTCAATAGATAAATTTCACATATTCATAAAAAATGAATTATTTTTGCATTGAAAACTTAAAAAATGGTTTTTTCAAAAACGGCCCAATCATTGATTTTCGTTTTGAGCTCAAACTGCTCAGGAAACATCCTAAAAAGATACCCCGTTGGAATTTTGAGAGTGCAAGGACCTTCGATTTAAACCTACTTCAGTATCGCCGTGATAATTAACTAGATGAATAATTTCGACGAGGATAACATGAAATTACTTCATTATAACATATTGTTATATATATTTTTATACAATATCTTTAATTCAAAATATAATTACAGTTAACAAATTATGATTGATATAAGTTATTATTTTACAGCTTCTTTTAGGTTTCATTATACCTGAACGAACTGAATCAATGATTGATATCAACCAGATTAAAACTTCTCTTAATAAAACGCTTATGCCTTATATGATACCTGAAATTATTATTATTGATAATATGCCGCTGCTTATTAATGGGAAAATTAATCGACAACATTTATTAGAATCCTATTATAAACAACAAGAGAGAAGTAAGTGAATTTTTGTTTCTGTTTGTATTTTGAGTAAATTCATGAATCTGAAATCAATAGTTGTTTTAAAACATCTTTCATTTGGTATTATTAACTTGTTTTCATTGTGGAAAAAATTAAATACATTTGTCTATTATAGGTGCAATAAAAAATAAAGTATATAATTATGCGAATATACCAATAGAAGAACTAAATAAAGCTAAAGCTCTGTTTGATACTATTGGATCAGTTGTTGGACATAATTCTTGTAATATTATAAACATTGATGCAAATTTTTATGAAATTGGTGGAAACTCGTTAAATTCTATATATACTATTTTAAAACTACGCGAACAAGGTTTCCACATTGGAATAACAGATTTTATAACAGCTAAAACTATGAGAGACATAGTTTCGAAAATGACAATAGCCGATATGAATCCCAATGAAGATGATTTAATGAACACGGAAAAATATATTTTAGAAATGTTGAAAGAGTGCCATAAAACACAGGTTATAGAGTGAGTAAATAAAATTTTATATTCTGATAATGAAAGCTTTATTTTTCTAAAAATCTTTATTGCTGGCTTTCTATAAATTTATGCATAAGGCTTCGTTAGAATTCAAATATGCAATTTTCTTAATATTTTTACAACTACGTACCTAGGTGAGTATGTGTATATGTATTTCCATCGTCAATCACTATAATAGCTAAATCCACGCAAGTAAATTATTTAAAATTCGTATAAACTAGTAGGATTTATGAAAAACTCAAACGCTATACTGCATGGTTAAACAGAAAGTTTTTGAAAACTATATTTATAATGGTTATCTTTCAAAAAATTTTGTTTTTTGTCAATTGCAATACTTTCTATAACAATCATATAGTTATTGATTTAATGTATCACATGAATAATTATACGGTTGTTTTGGTTATACAATATTGAATAAGGAATTGTTAATGACCTGCTCAAACATCATGTCGCATCTTAAGTTACGTCTTTCTCTTCTATAATATATCCTGCGTTGATTAATTATGTGTTTTATAATATATTCTTATTACCTTTTTTATGATTTACAGATGAGTTTAAACCGCATGATGTTCTCCGCGGGCCCATAGGCGAATATGCCTTGTCGGCGGCATAGTTGAACTGACTGGGCCGGGCTTCCCATAACGTATCACGCCCACTGCGAGTTATCACAAGAGCTACTTCTAAATTATTCCCTACATAACCAGGATTGAAGTAAAAGGCCTAGTTATTGTAATCTCTCCTTATATGGGGAGGGGGGATTTTCTGAGGTGAATACGCGTTTCCAGGATTGGCAAAGAAGTTTGTAGCGATGATTTTTAGGCGCGTGCTCTTCTCCCTCTCTTTTTACAAGCTGAGAGTCAGATCGCGCGAGCGAATATAAATAAAATCTTCACTTCTCAACATACACAATTTTTTATGTAGGCATGAGAAAATGATACGCTGTCTCTCAGAACATATTTCTATACAAGAAAAATTTGTTATCACTAGCGTAGCGAGTAAAATTACCGACCGAATGTTGTGATGTCTAAATATATGCGAATCGTTTAGGGATGTTTTTTATATGAGCAAGCTCTCGTTACTTGAGATTTTTAATTTAAGTGTACGTATGAAGTAGACTTAATTATCTTTTTATTATGCGGAATTATTTTTTATTTTGAAATATATATTATAAAAATTAAATAATACAATTATTTAGATAATGAAACAGTCGGATAGGTCGACTCAGGATTCAACAGACGAGAGGGGATGACAAAGTCGGATACCCTCTCCACTGAAAAATCTCGAGTCGAGCAGCGACACGCAGCTCATGTAAATTGCAAGCTTGACAAGGCACTCTCGTTTGGTCCTCCTAACTAATCGGACCTTGGAAATCCCTGCGGATATCTGCACTGTGCTGAGACTTTAACGGGATCAAGACTGACAAAATCCCAATCCCTTTCCTTGACCGGACGGGAGAAAGCTCCGCGGAAATAGGAAGTCCGCCTATTTCTTCAACGAGTAATACCAATGAAATCAAGGAAATTATCGAACTCATCTTCCGAGGTGAGTACGCAAGGCGCATGTTCAACACACAAAAGAGGAAATAATTTCCTTTTCGTAGATCTAAACAAGTGCTTTTCTTTTATAGAGTCGGGTCCACGAACTTGACACTAAAATAACGTGTTACAATAAGATAAATAACGTAAAATTTTTGTATTAGTATTTTGAAAATCAATAATAAAAATAATTGTCAATTAGATGACATAATCTGTAACTGGATTAAGGTGTAACATCATAAGACCATCTCTCAATTTGTGTAATTATTAGCCAGTAATTTAGAACATTCCGCAAGGCCTCAGTGTAGTTTTATAAGTCGCACAATTAAAATTTGGTCTTTCAATTCTGTAACTATAAACTATACATTGCGCAATTTAAAACCTCTTTAAAAAATGGTCTCGAGTCACAATGCAGAAATGTAAAATGTGATGGTTGAAACATAAGCACGTAAGCCACGGAATGGCAGTTCGGAACCACAGCTCCGTATGACACCAGTTCTTTAATTGAGTGCTGTTTATATATTGACACGAATACTTTTACAGCTCATACTTATTCATTAAACATAGTGAGTTTCACTTGTCATTTACTTTTAAAGTATACTAAACTTATATTCACGTATACTCAATTCTAATAAAAGTCAAGGATAATTGTATAAACATACAGGCATCATTTGTTAACATGGCTTGAATTGAACTGAACCGTATACCGAATTATGTTGAATTTTGAGGTCGATAGAATACTATTCAGTTGTCATAACAAAAGAAGAGTAAAAATTCAAAAAATATCACGCAAGGATATTAAAAAGCAGATTCCATGACGGTACTACTATAACTTTGTACAAATATTAACATTAGGGTAGTTTTAAGTCCTATAAACGGTTTATTCATACAAAAATAGATAAGTGTCGCATAAGATCGAGGTGGAAATGCACGGGCAAGTGCATAAAATGCTGCAGATGGGAATTATTCGTAAGTCCCGCAGCGTGTGGTCTAGCCCGGTGGTAATGATTCGGAAATCCGACGGCGAATACCGATTTTGTGTGGACTACCGGAAGGTGAATAGCTTTACTCGCGTGAGCGCATATCCGCTGCCCTTTATGAACGCGATACTGCGGAAGCTCCAGCACGCCAGATTCGTGAGCGCAATTGACCTCGCGAGCGGATTTTGGCAGGTCCCTCTTTCGGAGAGGGCCATCCCGGTAACTGCTTTCACCGTCCCAGGACTCGGGCTATTCGAATTTGTTCGGATGCCCTTCGGATTGGCTGGTGCCCCGGCAACATTTCAGATGTTGGCCGACAAGCTCATCTCACCCGAGATGGAGCCTCACGCCTTCGCGTACCTTGACGACGTGATCATCGCTACTGAAACGTTCTCAGAGCATGTCCGGTGGCTCACGCATATTCTAAAAAGAATACGTGATGCTGGCCTTACGATCAATCGCAAGAAGTCTAGGATTTGCATGACCGAGGTGCGTTATCTCGGCGTGTTGGTAAATCGCGATGGTACACGCCCCGATCCAGAACGAGTCGCACCGATACTCGAGTACCCAGCCCCGAAAAATCTTCGTGCTTTACGCAGATTCTTGGGCATGGCCTCGTGGTATCGAAAATTCCTGAACGATTACGCTACGATTTGTGAGCCGCTTAACGCGCTCACCCGTAAGGACGCCAAATTTGAATGGCAGGAGGCGCAACGGCAAGCTTTCGAGCAAGTCAAATCCCTTTTGGCAACGGCCCCTGTCCTAGCCAGGCCCGATTTCATTGCGCCGTTCATCATCGAATGTGACGCGAGCGATACTGGCCTTGGAAGCGTTCTGCTGCAGCGTATCGATAGCGAAGATCGAGTTCTGTGCTTCGCGAGCCGCGTCCTGACGGCTTGCGAACGCCGCTTGTCGGTTACCGAACGTAAGTGCCTCGCTGTCGTCTGGTCGACCGATACGTTCCGACCCTACGTGGAGGGGTATCACTTTACAGTTGTGACCGACCACCAGAGCCTTAAATGGCTCACTAATCTGAAACACCCAAACGGTAAGCTTGGTCGTTGGTCCCTCGCGTTGCAATCGTATGATTTCGATATTATACATCGCAGGGGTAAGGACAACGTCGTGCCTGACGCGCTCTCACGCATGTTTGAGGCCGACGAAGACGAGCTCGCGGCTACCGCTTCGTTGACACTCGACGAAAGCATAAACGACCCGTGGTACCGCAAGACAATGCAGGAGGTCCTCGATCGGCCCACGGATAACCCCTATTGGAAAGTTTTAGGCGGCCGGTTATATATTTATAAGCCTGACCCCATCGTCGACGACCTCTTCGGAACCGATGACGACGCTTGGAAGCTCGTTATCCCAAAGGAAGACCGGGCACGAGTCTTATCCGAATGCCACGAGGAGCCGACGGCAGGACATCTTGGCCGCTACAAAACCCACAAGCGCGCGAGCCTCCGCTATTATTGGCCGAAAATCCATCACGACGTAGGATATTACGTTAAGAATTGTCCAATCTGCCAGCAAGTCAAAGCCTTACAAGTCATACCAGCAGGATTGATGGGATGACACCTCGTCACGCGACCGTGGGAAATTGTGTCCGGCGAAACCATGGGCCCTTTCCCGCGATCCGCGCAAGGCTACGAGCACTTGCTTGTCTTTCTCGATCTCTTCACTCGCTGGATCGAATGTGTCCCTCTCCGTAAGATTACTGGGAAAATCATCCGATGCCAACTGAAAGAACGTGTGTTTCTGCGTTTCGGGATCCCTAAAAAGTTCTTGTCTGACAACGGTACTCCGTTCAAGAATAAAGTTGTCGACGACTTTTTGGACTCGTTCGGCGTGATACACGCGACATGCGCCCCGTACTCGTCTAAAAGCAACCCGACCGAACGCGTAAATCGCACAATCAAAACCATGATTCGAGCATTTATCGAGGAAAAGCACTCGACGTGGGACGCGCATATAGCAGAGTTCGCGTTTGCCTACAACACGGCAATACACGAAGCGGTGCGCACGAGCCCCGCTTTTCTAAATTACGGACGTCATCTCGAGCTGCCAAACTCGAAGAAACGAGAGAAAGAACGCGCCGTGGCTCGGAACCTCGAGACGGCCGCGGTCACCGACTGGCACGCTCGAATCAACAAGCTTGACGACTTCCGAGCCGTTGCACTGCAACACTCGCGGGAAGCCCAAGATAGACAGGAGATATACTATAACGCTAAGCATCGCGACGTCAAGTATAACGTCGGTGATAGAGTCTGGGCGAAGAATCGTGTGCTGTCCTGCACCGCTAACCAGACGACCGCGAAACTCAGCCCGAAGTACGCGGGCCCGTTCATCATTACCGCACGCCTCGATCCCAACTCATACGATCTCCAGAACGAAGAAGGTTGTGACGTTGGTAAAGTCGCCGTTTGCGCTTTGCGACCGTGTTTCGACGGAGCCCAGTGCCCCGATGATGCAG